TAGGTAGAGGTCTCTCTCATTCCCACCATCTGGCCTATGGGGAGCTGAATAGGCTAGGAAGATCCAGGGTTCAGAGTCACTCTTTGTCAATTTAAAACAGGCACAGACCACCAGCTGAGAACTTTGACTCAGTGCCTGTCTTTTCTATGTTGAGATACTGGACTGCCCTGCACAAGCATTTGTTTTAGTAGCTGCTTGTGAACTGATAGATGTCTGTAGATTCACAGAAGAGTATAATGAGGCCTTAGACCTCAGTATAAGATAGAAGTGTGGGATACAACTTCTTTGTAATCAGTTAATGGTTTGAGGCAAGTAACATAACAGGGGCATCTTGTTTGGATGAATATAGAGTAGTGAGTACAAAACATAAATGCATAAAGTCAGATAATTTGCAGTGAAGCATGGAATAGCAAGAAAGGATTTCCTAATGCAAGAGTTGTCCTAGAATTGGACTGCATCAACTTCTGTTTTACTGTCAGAAAATCATAGTGAAAAGTAGGCTAAAAATATAGGCCATTCAAGATTTTAAAAAAGAAAATTTTTGGACTCAAGGCCAAACTTAATTAACTTAACTCATAAGAACATTCTTATTTGAAAAAATCAGGACCTAGCAATTTATCAGAAGTTCTGCTTTTCTTAACAACGCAATTTTGTTGCTTTTGGAAAAGAACTTTAAAGTTAACTTTAAGTACTAGAGAATTGAAAGACAAAAGGGTATCCTTTTATTAAGTACATTATGTTTTAACTTTAAAGCTAGTCTCATGCTGTTGTGGAATCTGACACAGTTTACTGGAAAGCTTAAAATAACAGAGGTATAGTAAATGTCCTTGAGCAGTGTCTGAGAATCTGATTTCATCTGACAAAAAAAACATGCTACAAGAACTGTAATTTCAACTGGCCTCAATATCTATTTTTAGGTGACAAGTAATTGATCAAAGCTACTACATTTCCAAATTTAAAAAAAATAATAATTCTTTTTAATGTATCAAACAATTGGAATAATTCCAGCCATATCCTGCTTAGAGTGGGTGACAATTGCCTACATTGACAACACATCTGCTCTGTATACCTGTGGGAGCCAAAGATTATTGTCCTCTCATTTACATAATCAGTTGGGACATTATCTCCTGAATAATCCAAGCTATAGAGTAAGAAGTACTTCTGCAGCAGTTTAAATGAAGATATTGTCAAATTAGTCTCCAAAGCATCAATTTAGCCCGAGAAAAGCTCCAATTAAGTCTCCTTCTGTAAGGAGATTTGTATGGTAGGGTCTCCTTATATAATAATGATATGCTAATCTAATGTAATCTACTAAAGCCTACACAGTTCTTGTATTTAAACTACAGGCCAGACAGGAGGACCTTTCATTAAATAAGAGCAATATAATGGCCCCATGGTTCAGATGAGAGTCTTAAAAAATAAAAGCTTTGCTTACCTTAGGGTTTCAAAGGAGAAACCATTTATAACATATGTAGAAATAAGGCCATAAACTGGCAAATTTAACTGTTCTCCCATAGAAATAAAGCTAGTGTACTATGGCAGGCTTAATGCTTTTAAGTTTACACCCAGTTCTCTGCAGAGCTGTCAGTGCTCTGCGCATAGCAGCAGGAGGAGCTGTTGAATGTGAAGCCTGACCAAGTCAGGAGACATGTTCATGATTCATAGATCTGCAGGTTGTCCTCTTTGCTGAGAGAAAATCACTGCTGCAGGTGGTAGCACACATGGGGTGTTTCTGTCAGCGGAGAGGTGGGATTCCTCCCTGCAGAGATCGTATTTTGCTGCCTGTTCAGGTTTTCAAGACTTTTGTGACCAAGTAATCACCTGGCTTGTAGTTTTAGAATCAGGTTTTAATATCCCAGCTTCATTGTCTGCTTGTTTTTACATATGATGTTAGGAATGTGTCGAGTGTTATATAAGAGCAGATTAGTGGTTTAGTACTGTTTTTGACAGTGATCAATGCTGGAAGCTTTGCAGATGCTACAAATTGCCCAGGGTGAGTTTATTATCCTAAAGCATGAAGTCTCAGAGCGCTGAGAACACTTAATACAAACTAGTAGCATTGCAGATGTTTTTCTTATGCTCCTAGTACATGTCTCTAAGCCCCCCCCTTTTTTATTGTTTTTACAACTATATTAAGCTGTTTGCCTTCATCATATTCCAAGCAGAAAAATAAACAAGTAAATTAGAGAATACTTTCTAAGTTTCTTTTGTCTGATAAATTTTCTCCAAAGAAAAGATCCCAGAATTTTTCATTCAATGTCTTACAGATACATGATACAAACAACTGATGAAACTTTGCTGTAGTAAATGCATTATGTACTCATTGCTAAGTTGTAGTTTATAGTTTCTGGGGCATTTTTTTTTTTTTTTTTTGGTATGTGTAGGGGTGTGGGGTTTTTTTGTTTGGGTTGTCTTTTTTTTTTCCTGGAAGGGACAAGTTTAGTTTTCACATTCCTTTCCTAGGATGTAACAAATCCCCAGGTTTTAATAATTGTTGCTCTTTTCCAGTCTTTTTTTGTTTTGCTACTTATGAAATGTGCTGAGCAAAACTAAATGCAAGATACACAAGGATTATGAAATATTATTCTGTCTTCTCTGCAGCTTAATTTCTCCTGAATAGTGCTAGACGCAAAGCAAAAGACAGGAGTCAGCATTTATTTTGAAATCATTCCTTCAGGAGGTAACAACTACTTTAAAAGCTATTTGTGGCTGAGTTGTCTTCAGCAGTTCGTGAAGTGTGTTTCTTCATACTTCACTTTTAAATTTCATCTGTTATTATACTGTTCTGTTACTTTTGCTACTAAATCCTCCTGTGCTCTTCTGGTGTCTTAATAAATGCATTAATCATTTTGTTGTAAAAAACAGAAGTCTGATTGTTTCTGATTGTTCTGATTATGTATGATTGTTAGACTGGATATTAGGAAGCATTTCTTTACAGAACAGGTTGTTAGGTGTTGGAATGGGCTGCCCAGGGAGGTGGTGGAGTCCCCATCCCTGGAGGTGATTAAGAGTTGGGCTGACATAGCGCTGAGGGATATGGTGTAGTTGGGAACTGTCAGTGTGAGGTTAATGGTTGGACTGGATGATCTTCAAGGTCTTTTCCAACTTAGATGATTTTGTGATTCTGAGACATGTAAAGGTAGGATAGAAAATGAGTGTCCTTTCCTGACTCCTGCCACATCATTTTCCTTATAGCTTCTTGGTAGCCACTGAGCCTGTTGTACTCTGAATACTTGCACAGAAAATAGTGCACTGTTGGGGCACTCTGTCCTGACTGGCCTCCTGAAGATCTCACACATAAATAAAGTAATCAGGGGCTTAATTTTCTGCCATGATTCTTTGCTAGTATCTCTTCCTGTAAAGAAAAGTCCAGTGGATAATGACTAGCTGGAAGTATGGCTCTGTTGGAGCCATATACTCCTCCGAGACTTGGTAGTCTCCTTAACTCTGGTGGTTTGCTTGAAGGGAGAGGGGAATATATCTGATCACTTAATGGGACAATTTAAAAGACTGAAATGAGAAAACTCTTAATGAAAAATACAATAATAATTAAAAAAAAACCTATCTGGGAAACACCTGAATAATCCCTCATTTAATTAAGCAGTTAAAAAAAATCCCAATGAGTGCCCATGTGCTGTTCCTGCTTCTCTAATCTCCACTTGGCTGCAGCTTCTTAAGATATTCATTGAACTAATATTAGCTATGTTCCTGAATTCTGGGTAGCAGAAATATTAATCTGTCAGCACACGGAAAATAGCAATTTAAGCTTATTCTTTGCATACTTTTTGCAAAGTCAGTTGCTAATCCATGAGATAGCTTTCCACTAAAGTTTCCTTTGCTGCTTTCTTATTTCAAAAGGCTTTACAAAAATTATTTAAGATGTTTAACTGTATTGCATTTGGGGACTTTTTTGTTTGGTTGGTTTTTGTTCACACTTTGGTAGGAATCCTAAACAGCTCAGTAAGCACAACACAGCAGCAGAGCTGTTCTGTCCCTATCTCTTGCTCATAACTATTTTTATAGCCACCATGCTAATGCCTGCTATTAATCCTTAGCTACTGTATTGACCACTTGCAGCCATCTAGGACTAATTCCTAATAACAGATTACATGCTTTCTGTAGTTTACCTGCTCCATTCTAAAGCTCCCTCAAAACCCTCCAGGGATTGTTAAATCTCATTCTCCCTCTACCAGTCTTCAATGCAGTTTAAATACAGTATCTATGGCATTTCCAGTTCACTTAAAACATTCCTATTTTAGGCAATGAATAAAAAAGGAAAGAGAAGAGTCTGAAATACAAGCCACAATGTGTCTGACATAGTAATGTAGACTTGGAGAGGCCATGGTCAACCTTAGAGCATGGAGGCTTTGGGAATGTGCTCTGCATAGACAAAGAGACTCCACAGCTCATGAGCATCATGTTTGTCCCTCTGTGTGCGCAGTAGTGCTGACATTATTGGTGTTTGACTTCCTGCAGAGTAGCACAGGGTCCTTTTGACTTGGGAGCCTGGTGCTTGTGAGGGCCTGCAAAGGGTCTTATTGTGTCAGTAACTATGATTCCCAGTGCTGGCAACTGTGTTGTAGCTCCTTTCATAAACTGGACAGGTCCACTCTGGAGCAACCTGTTTTCTGATCCCCTCCTCTTCTATTGAACCTCCCTGCTGTGACCATTAAAAATAATCTTGTGATTCCCAGTGTAAATTTATTCCCAGTCAGACTGTAACACTCATTTGTGAATCCATTTGGCCTTTAATGAACCATCTCTTTCCATAGCCAGTGTTTATCCCAGTAGTGAGTTTCTCAAGAAAAGTCATGTTCCCACAGCCTCTAGACCAAGACAAGCTCTTCTAGTCTTGAATAGGCTGCACATGTCCTGGGCTACCCTAGCTGCTCTTCTCTTTACTGTTTGAATTTACTGTGGCTCTCTAGGAAAGGACAGACAGTTTGTATTAAGGTAGTTTTATTTGTGACTCTGTTTTTAAAGGACAAGGAATGTGTCAGTTAAACGAAATAAAAAGCATTGAAACCATAGAATTTGTCTCTTTCCCTTAGTGATGTTACTGCTGAGGTCTTTTGTCTCTCATCTTAGGAATCATGAAAACGTTTTTGTGCTGCTGTCTTAGAGAAGGAGTGCTGCAGCTCCAGCAGTGCTGTCTGGTGCCAAGGAACCTCACAGCCAGGGAGCTAGACTGCGCATTCAGGCAGTGCTGTCTCTCTTGGCCTGTCCTCTGGTCTCTATGCAGGTTGACGTGCTTCTTGATGCCAAAGCGTGTGCAACAAAAGTCTACTTCTCACTCTTTACATCCAGTGGTAAGCCTGGCTTACGTAGACTAACTGGGTTTTCCCAGATTGTATGTTGATCCAAATGTCTGGGCTTGAAGTCTTTGTAGGAGAGGGAACATGCAGAAAGGATTCAAATTCAGGCCTTCCTGAAAGCTGCCGCCTGCACAATGCTGCTGTCTGCAATACATCGGGGATTTTCTGAAGTTTGTTTCTGGCAGCTTTGTATCCAGATAATGAACTTTCAGGTAGCATGTCTAAGACAGAGTAGCCTGCACTTGGCTCACATCCCATTTCTAGCCTGTGCTTTCTGTCACTTTATGCTGCTGACCGAGACTGGCCACTGTTTCTATTTTACCCAGCATTGTGCCTGAGTAGCTGGCTGCAACAGTAGGAACCCTGAATAAAGGCAGAGGCATCAGAACAGTACTCCTCCAGTGTTCATGCAGAATTGATTTGTGGAAACATTGACCTTGAAGTAAACATACAGTGCACCCTTCAAGAGGTCTCACTTGCGAGAGACTAAGCAGAAATATTTCCTTCTATATGGAGGAAGTAACAGAATCTACACTGTCATCTAAGTCTCTTATTTTATCAGGGACTGCTTATTTTAGCAAACCATTGCCTGAGACTAGTCAAATGGCTCAGTTAGGGGTCTCCCAAGCAAAGGGAAGCAGCCCAGACATTTGTTACTGCCCTGCCACATAGGGAGCAGCTTAGTCAGTCTTTCTGTTTTGGAAAAGAAAGTATTCCACTCCACCCCAATGCATAAGAAATAAATGGATATAGAGTCTTGTGCTCTCTTCACCTTTCTTCTGTAAGCACCTGTCTTCCCATTTGTGGTCTCATAGTCAATATGATAATATAAACGGTGAATTTAACTTTTTTAAACTTCTTTTAGGAACTGTTGCAGGTGGGACTGAGGATACTTCCTGGTATGTGACTTTAGCTTTCTTAACCACGGTTTGACCCACTGCTTGAATACTGTTACCCTGTATTAATCATTTGTACTGTTGAGCGTTCAGATACTGGTGCAGAGTCAAAGCCACATTGTAAAGGAATTGTTCAAACATAAAGTACATTTGAGTCCTACAGCCAAAGAATGAACTTCAGCAGTTACTGTGCTGAACAATCTTGAGTGTTTGATATTTAATGTATGTATGCTTTAAGTGGAATAATCTTCAGATAAATCAGCATAGCTCAGGGTAGGCCTCTGCCAATCACACTTTGGAAGCTAGAGGGCAATAAAACTGCTCAGTTTTGAATTAATGCAAGTTGCTAGTTTGGATTTTCATTTCTAGAGACAAGCTGTTAAAAGTGTTCTTTAAAGTGTTCATCATCATAAAGTGAAACATTTGTTTCTTCATCACATTGGAGAAAAAGCTAGACAGCTTTTCCGTTTCAGATACAGGGATTCAATTATCAGAAACTTTTAAATGCCATTTCAGAAGGGATTTCCTTACTTGGATACTTTTTTTAAATCAGTGGAAATAAAGCAGGACAATTTGGGGACTTTTTATCCAGGGTGTGCTGGTTTTGACTGGGATAGAGTTAATTTTCTTCTAGTAGCCAGTATAAGGCTGTGTTTTGGATTTCTTCTGAAAACGGTGTTGATAATACAGGGGTGTTTTGCTCAGCAGTGTTTACACAGATCCAAGGCTTTTTTGCTCCTCACCCCACCAGTGAGGACAATGGGGAGAGCACAAGAAGTTGGGAGGGGACACAGCTGGGACAGCTGACCCCACCTGACCAAAGGGACATCCTATACTGTATGATGTCATGCTCAGCAATAAAAAGCTAGGGGGAAGAAGAAAGGGAGGGATGTTCAGAGTGATGGTGTTTGTCTTCCCAGGTCACCGTTACCCACGAGGGAGCCCTCTCCTCCTGGAAATGGCTGAGCACCTGCCTACCCATGAGGAGTGGTGAATGAACTCCTTGTTTTGCTTTGCTTGCATGCATGGGTTTTGCTTTACTTATTAAACTGTCTTCATCTCAACCCATGAATTTTCTCACTTTTACCCTTCTGATCCTCCCCCATTCCACTGGTGGGTGTGGGGAGTGAGTGAGCGGCTGTGTGGTGCTTAGTTAGTTGCTGGCTGAGGTTAAATCATGAAATAGGGCCAATTTTGGACTTGAACTAAGAAAAACACAGCATTTTACTTAATTTCTCTGCTTCTTGTGTGTGTGTGTGCAGTTGGAACCCAGGAGTGCTGTAAAGCCAGCAGAGCAGGACTCCATTCCTTCTGTTGTTTTACCTGCAGAATTGCTGTCAGTTACAATCATACTCTGCATGACAATGTGCAGGTGTCACTGAGTGGCTTAAGCTAGTACAGGTAATGAATGGTACATTAGCTAACACAGCTCAACTTCATTTGTTATGCTTATATACCATGTTATGCTCATTTGCATGAGTAGCATTTAATATAAATACTATCTTTTCACTTTTATACAGGCCCCACAATGTAAAAATTATTGAAGAAAATAAACATTGAGTATTCCAATATAGTTTTATACATTCTTTAGAGTAAATCTTTGCATTAAAATAGAATCTCATAATATAACTATTGCAGCCTTAAGGAAGAAAGGCAAACCATTCATGCAAATGGATGAGGATGAATCATAGAAACTCTGCAAACTTAAACTGGTATAGTTAGTAAGGAGGCGGTAGTCTGCTATGGTAATAGGTCACTTACCAAACAAGGTGCCATAAACACCTAAGTTGATGAGTTCAGTGCCGTTGTTCCGATTAACACCAAGTGAACATCTAGCCATTATGTTTCAGTCCCTGCAGTTCTGCACCATTCACATGACAGCTGCCAACTCGTTTTATGGAAACTATTACTCGTACTCCTCAAGGCAAAAGGTCATTTGAATTGCTGTCATGTGTTGTTGGCAACTTTAAATGATAAGATAAAAAAATAAGCAGATAATCACAATAACTTTTCTCCCTGCAAACCCTGAAAAAGCCATTAATCCATTACGGAAGTTCTGTCAACCAGCTGTGTAAGGACTGATTTAGTATACTGAACTTTTGCCTCTGTTTTAGTGAGTCTTTCCCTGTGCTTAAGTATTATCAGAGGAAAGGCTTAGCTCTGCTAGCTGAATCTGGTAATACTCTTGCCAATGTTACTTGTGGAAGCATGAAATTTGTAATAAATGCAGTACTTACTATTTTCATGTATTGACCTAGTTCTCCTGTTAATCTGCCAACTGCTTTCATGTTATCATTGTCCAGGATAAGGGGATGCATAGGACCTTAATGGAGACATACTTTACTGTCACATGTTTTTATTGGTTAGGAAAATCAGAATTAATGGACAGTTCCTCTGAATAACCTCAAGGTATTTTATAGTTTGTGTGGCCTTTTGTACTAAATGACAAAAAAATAATCTGAGAAATTTGGAGTTTATCACTTCATGGTCTTTCATTTCTATCCCAAGGAAATTAAATTAACAAAAAATGCTTACCTATGAAGTCCCAACTGAATGTTGTGATTCCCCAGAAATCTTTCGGTGTTTTGTAGCATATTGGTTAGATAGTATATTCGACCCTTCAGTAAATTTAGGAAGCTGAAGGATAAGAAGAATAAGGTATAAACCAGATATTTGTGCTGGATAAAAAAGACTATTTTAAACATTTGAAATAACACATGTGGCAGCACCCTCCCCAATTATCTGTTTAGTAAATGCTAATAAAATTAAAAATGTGGTGAAAAAAATGCCTTTAGTACAGTATTACTACTCAAGTGGAAGATTCAACAGGTATGCAATTCAGCTGACCTAATTCAGATAACTTGGAATCAAGTTCTCCATGGTAGCCACATCTAGGCAGAACATTATGTGCTATATAAGCTTTCTTTTGTAGTTACAGTTATAGACTGTCTTAAAATGGATTGTTACTTATTGTTTCTCTTGCCACATCCATAAGACTGCGTGTCTATAAAGGCTGTATCCTTCTTCACTGTTGCTGCTAATATTTCTTCTACGTTAGGACACTGATCTCATGGATCTGCAGACAGAACTCATCTTCACCCTTCTGCTACAAAATCAGCAGGGTTAAATCAGATCACCCATTTAATCAGTGTAAATTAACCCAGCTGTCTTTTTGGAAGCACTCAATGTGATTGTCTGCACCAGCAGCCTGCAAGGCTAGTTGTCTCTGGCAGAGAGGTGATGACAAACAGCTGAGGGCTGGATCTTATACCAGATAAAGCTGCCTCTGCAGAAGGCCATCTGCCTATGGCCAATTGCAGGAGATTTGGATTGATTCACACACCAGCAGGGAAGATTCTTACTTCATTTTCTGTGCGGGATTTTTGCAAACAGCAACAACAAACAATAAACCTTGATGAATTGTGAAGCTGCCTTTGTACTCATAATGTCACCATCAGAGGAACTGAGTGCTACTAGATGTCTTATAAAAATAAAACTGCAGTGCATGCTTGGAAGAGCTTAGTTTCCAACTCTGGTTCTATCACTGCTTTTTTACTTCAGTCTTTCCAGTTCAGTTTCCCTATTTACCTCATAATGATGCTGTCAACATTAACCACATAATAGCTACTCTGAATTTTGTAAAGGTCAGGTGTAGAAAAGGCACAAAGCTTTTAAATACAGCCTTAAAGTGGTAAAAGGCACCTGAGTGTGGTCTGAGTTATCTGTCAGTCACTGAGAACTGGGGTGTCATGATCTCAAAGGAAGCCAAACTGTATGGAGGGAACAGAAAATGAACTTAAAGTACTTTCTAAGTGCTGGTGGTAGCTGCCCCCTTAGCTGGTAATTCTGAACCTGCTAAGCTTTGCTGGAAATAGGTCTTGGCCTCCAATGATCCTCTTGCTTTGCAAAATTGGCTTTGTAAACTCACCACCACAGATGAGCAGTGTTTCTTAGATTGACCAATGATCAATGAAAACTGACTATAAATGACTAGTCCTAGTGTTACATAGTTGGTGGAAAGGTTTTGGGTTTAGATGGAAAAATACTCCATAAAAAAGGTCTTGTGTACCTAAATTTATATACATAACTTTACTATGCTGATGACTGGGAATGACAGCTAATTAATGCAAATTGACCACTATTATCGGCTTTTACTCTGATGAAAAGCTTCTTACCCATGCCAGTGTAGCTTTTTATGTTTCACACAGTTATGGCCAAACCTTTCCTGGCAAGCACTGCCATGGCACACGGAGGTGCTGGCTTTCTCCTGTCCCAAATTCCCTGTAACCCTGTGTGGTCAGTGGCTGCCAAGCTACTCCTCATCAATTCATGCATGTGATCTTTAAAGTTTTCCAAAATGAAGTAAGTATCTGTCAAAATCTCAATGTAGCAGAATGCTTCCAGGGAAAAGCAAAATAAGAACAAAGTTTTCATGCCCTTTTCCTCCAATATATTATGTAAAACACTCTCAGGGTAAAATGCTACTGGGGTTAAAACCAAACAACTCATGATGGCTTACATGGTATTCTGTAAATAATGAATATCTAGGGCTTCATCTCTGTCTTCTAAAGGATACAAAGAGTTGCTTTTTCTCCCTGGACCTTGTTCTACCATCTGTGTAGTGATAAAGTCTTTTAAATAATCAGCTTTTATTTCATGGGTACCTCTTGTTGTCCTTAGCAAAGGTATGGCAGTCATGACTTTGGCCCCAAAACTGCTAGGTTTTGATCCCACTGATGCGTTTTTTTTTTTTTTTTTTTTTTTTTTTTCTTGCATTGTTTTGGACTGTGAAGAATTATTTGTCTGACAGAAGATACCAGATACACTAAATGATCCACCTTGCTTTTGTAGGGATTAGCAGCTATGTTAATAGCTCTGTTGGCTTCTGAGGCTACAAGGTGTTCACACAAGTCAGGTTTATTCATCATTCTCAATGTTTAGGTATCTTCCATGGAGACTGGAACTCTCAGCACACAGAGCTCTAATTTAAGCCAAGATGCTGAGCTTGACCACTGAAATATTCAGATTCTGACTCTGTTAAGATTCAGTAGAAAGGAGTCTTTACTTCAGTAGTGTTACTAAGTTTCAAGAATAGATGGTAAACCCACAGAGTGCTGTCTTGCCCCTGGTCTTCCTCAGAACAACCACATCAAAAGCCTTGGCTTGGATATTGGGATGGAAAGGCTGATGACTGAATCGATTCTAGTGTCTTAATCCTCAGGTGATCAGAAGTTTGGGAACATGATGTACCTAGAGATGTGAGAGGTGGGAAATGGCAGGCACAGAGATCTTGGGTTGGTTTGAGATGTCAGGAAGAAGGACAGAAAGAAAGAAAATGTCCTTATTTCTCATTTCACAGAATTTTAATATTAAATATAACACTTTGCAAGAACTGGGAGAGATGTGAGAATCAGAAAGCAGTATCTTGCTTCTTTAATCCCCTCTTGCTTGCACCCTGCAAGAGTTCACAATGATGATTCCCTTGAAGCTTTTGTACATAATCAGTCATACCAATTCATATTTACTTCTATGTGGCTCAAGGGAAGGAAAACGTGGACTTCTGATTCTTGCACAGCTTCAGTTAATAGTAACTGAGTTTGTGCTTGTAAAATCAAAATTTGTCTCTTAGACAATGTTTATTTCTGGAAGGAAGGAGGGTAAAGCTAAACTGGAGAGTTTTACAGGATACTGAGAACAAGGGTTTCATGGAATGCCCATATGCTGTTCTTTTCAGCTTTCAGCTTTTAATGATAGAATAATATAAAACCAGGGGAATCCTGAAATCTTTTGAGAAGAATAAAAGCATCAGTTTATTCCATTAAGAGAGAGTAGCACCCTGTTCAGATTCTTCTATACTTTACCACAACTGCATACAGCATCTTACTGAGAGCAAATAACTTTCCCCAACTGCTGCATAAAGCACAGTTACAACCTTATACAGGAGCCAAATTCATTCCATTCCTGAGGCTGTGCAGATGTCTTATCAAGCTAGGTATTTCTGAGGCTTCTTTCTCATAAATCCATAAATCTGCTTTATGCATACTCTAGGTCTCTTGACTGTGCTTGGTAGATGCTCCCAAATACTTTAATTCACATTAGATAAAGAGGTCATGAACAACACAGTCCAGAAAACCCAATTAGCCCATAGGCAAGTCAGCAAGATCAGTATTTGTTAGGAGAGTGGGTGTGCTAGGCAAACACTGCTAACCCTATCATTACATGCTTCATTCAAAAGAGAGGGCTTTTGTCTAGTGGTGTTGCTGCTGCTTATTGCAAAGGAACCTGCACTCTGCAATTATGGCTGTAAGAGGAACTTGCCTTTTTATTTCATTAAGGAAAGATAAGATGTAATATAGGTGAAATGACTTAGCCAAACTGTCTGGTGGTTTATGAAGCCTATATTAGGGAAGAAACATAATAAGTAAGTTACCTGAAGTGACCCATGTTCATTTCCACCTCCTACACTTTATCTGAATCAGTGCAATCAATATACATTAGGGACAAATCAATGTGTAAGCAGTGCAGATAATATTCTTACTGATACCACTCATCACATGAGGAATGTTTTGTGTTGCCAGGTGCCAAAGACTGAAAAGACACTGAGAACGAGTGATGTGCAGAATGTCTTTTTAAAAGGAGTGAGGAAAAAACTAGCCTCATACATTTTTGCATAATAAGCTCTATATTAATTAACAATGGTATGTGCTATTAGTAAAAATATATCCCTTTTCAGTAATGCAAAACAAAACCATATCCTGTTTATACTTGCAGAGAAAATACTTATTCATTCCATGCTGATAAATTATTTATATTTTGCCATGGAGACTTATTTTATGCTTCAAATCAGTTTTTAAAAAAGCAGTCAAAAGAAAACTTTAAAGGGCAAGAATTTCATCACTGAGTCTAGCTAAGAGTCTCTTGGCTATTGTACCAAGTCAGAAAAGTATCTAAGATTAAAAAAATAAAATAAATTTGCTTAATGGTTCTTTGTGGTACAATGAAAAAAATTTTAAAATTTCTGAAATAGTGTTATTGATCTCATCTAAATGGTTCATCTGGAGCTCCAAAATCTCATGTATTTCATTAATTTCACTCATTACCAGGTCTTGCTTGAAAGGATCCTTACCATATATGGGTAGGAGAGATTGTCTGATGATAGTCTTTTTTTGAAGCTTTATTATTTTTACAGTAATCACACAAAGTTTCTTGATTCTACAAGCCATATACCAAAATCCTCATATTGCTAAAACCCTTTGATTTTCTCAGTGAGGAGAAGGATGTCCTGGATTCATTCCCAAGCAGGAGATGGTGCTAACTTCTCAGGGCTCCTCCCTTTCTCAGTTTGAGGACAGAGCCATGTGGGATGTTACTAGGCCCCATGGGGACTCTGTCATTTCAGCCTTAGCAGTTCCTGTGGGAAGTCTTTTCCTCCCACGGCTGGGGGTTACTCTGTAACCTGGTTAATAAAATAGCCATGGCATGGGAGCTGCACCCAAGCTCTCCTCAAGTCACCTGTGACTCAAGATCTGCAACTTGACCACTCCCATCATTGAATTAGTCTCAGTAAATATAGGTTGTGTGCAGTTTCAAAGAGGATATATGCCCCCTTGCTCTAAGAGTTTAAATACAGCCCTGTGCTTATTTCTTTCCAAACTGACATGGGTGTTTTGAAGATAAACTTCAAGTGCCAGATCAGTTTTGTTCACACGTTCTGATACAGAAGCCATACATTTTATTGTGAAATCTATGCTGTGATGCTACGGACTTGGTGTAATCAACATGAGGTGTGATATCTCACAAATTACCATGCCAGAGTAACTCATGCCTCAGCTGAGATGAACAAAAGATCTACTTTTAATGTGTGATGCTACAAAGATAACAGGACTTCTAAGTGTTGGATTCTGACGAACATTTGTATATTGTTACATTTAGAATGGCCTGGAACTCTGATTGAAACTTTGTGTCTGTCTTGAAAATGGAAAACTTTTACAGAAACAGCCATACTTACAGAACAGCAAAGTTTATTCCATAGATACTTCTGATTTTCCATTTTTACAGTTAGAATGGGTCCTGTATGTCTACTGGTGCTGTAGACATGAAGGAGAATACTTCTTAGCATTTCTTTTCAATTCACATTGTGTTACAATATTACAATTGTAAAAATAAGAAGTATTTTAAATTTCCATTTCCATTCACACTGTGTTACAGTGTGAATTGTTACATTCTTCACTGCATTCATTGAACATATTCCTGATACAAATATGCATAAATAAGGAGAATCAGTCTGCTTTGTGCTTTGGCATGGCACTACTTAAGTACCTTTGCAGAGCATTTTATAACATCTAAACTTAAGGCAGCAATGAAATGAGGGCAAACATGCATTTTCATGACTCTGCCATGATTTAGAGAAGCTTTGTGAGCTCAGGTTGTAACAGCCAGCAAAGCTTTGCATTTTCAAATGTGGATAGTTATTTAGAGTGTTACTTACACTTTTAAAACTCAGACTGAGTAATCATGCCTGAAGCCACTCAGAATGGATGGCAGTATAGAGATCTGGATGGAAAGGAAGAAAGGAATAGCAGTTTTTCCAAATTTGGCATCGAGGTGGTTTCACTCGAATTTTAGTAATCTTTTGCTGGAATCTGCCAGTATCACACAAGAAACAGTTGCTCAGTATTATGTTATCTAACCCTTTATGTTCAGTCCACAGAGGATATGGAGTCTGTCAGTCTCTTGAAAAGAAGTCAAACTGAAGGAACTTATGCTCCCAGTTTGGAAAGCTGTAGCACAAATCCAGGGAGCGGTCCAGATGGACACCATCTCATTTCCCTAGCAATGAGTTCACTGTGGGCACTCTTCAAACACTTTTTGATAAAACAGGCATAAACCAAGTTTCATGTGAGAGAGAGTATCCTTATGGAGACACGAGCTTCACCTGCAGCAGTTCTGCAACTTGCCTCCTGATGCAGTGCAGAGTGCTATGTGCAGAGACACACTTGTTCAGTAATGGTAATAAAAGACACACTGGAACCTGTGTGACCTTCATGAGGGTTCCCACTTACCACTATTTTTCTACTCTCTGACATGTGGTAGAGCCTCTGAAGATCTGTTTCTTCTCTCAGGTGTGGTGTTGGCCTGAAAGTGATGCAGTGTGGGGATCCTCATGACCTTCTTTTCTAGATCAGGCCAGAGAACTTTTTGCTGCTCTTTCCTGTTAATTTCCTATGTACTCAATAAATTATTGAGATAAGATGTATCACTCTTGCCAATTTTAGCAGGAAGGAAATTATGACTGGAGAATAAAACGTTTACCATGTGTAAATTGGCTTTCTCCGCAGCCTTTTATTTTTGCAAATGGAGGTAATGACTTACCTTGCCTAACCTTAAAACCTGCTTGGTCGGGGAGCTGCAACTCAGGGAACCACCAGGGCTCGAGGACTGGGGGACAGCCAGAGGAATGTAAGTGCTGCATGGCATGATAAACACTGAAAGCAGATTAAAGCCCACATGGAAAAAAGCCAGTTTTCATTCATTCTGTACTGTCACCAAACCCACTGAAAACCTCATTGGTGTGACCTGTCTTTGGAAGGACAGCTGCAAATGCTCTACTCTGATGTAATATGTGTGTGTGTGTGTGTGTGTGTATAACTAGTGTTCTTGGCAATGACTGAGGGTGTTTTTTAAGGCCTTTCAGGGTTTTGCAGTCTTGTTTGATGGGAACTTATTACACCTTTAGATGGGAGGAGGCAACTATTTTTTTCCAGTATATTTAACTGGGAGGGCACATGTGTGTGGCCCACTGCTATTGCACATCTGCACAAACCCAGTGCAAAACTGGACAAGGATATGTAGTGTTCATCCTTAAGGCAAAGGCATAGTTGTTCCATGAAAGTGTACAGAGTTATTGCAAATGCCTAGTAATTAATTTCCCACAAAAGACAGTAATGGCTTAAAGGAGGCCTCACAGGCTATAAGGTAAATAAACTGAGTGTTAATAGCTCCCAGGTAGGCCTGCAGAGCAGCACTTGGAGGGTATTTTTCAGGAAAGGTTCCATGTGGCTGTCACCGCTTAATAGTCCCTGACAGCAGGAAGAATATTTGCTCTGAAAGACCTTGGACTATGAATGCAGAAGATTTGCGTGTGTGTTTCACTTTTTGTTTTAAATTATGCATTTTTTTCTTTCAATTTAAAAGTATTTCAAAGACTGAAAAAATACAACCTTATAGGAAAAGAAAATGCTCAATCTAGGACAAAGCATAGCAACCCAGCATGTTTCAGGTTAAGATGTGAGTGCAAAATAATGAAGAAAGTACATCAATGTGCTGTTGATCAAATATTCAGAGTCCAAGGTCATGACTCTTCAGTATGTACAGGGGCAGAGTTTGATCTACTCTTGTGTAAAACCTCCTTCCTACTTTTACAGCTAGCACAAGGACATCGAGTCCCAGCAATCCTTGGCTGCTTCCTTTTAAGGAAGCAAATCCCCAGAAAGGTGCCGCTATCTCTGCCTCAGCCTGTGTACACGTATGATCCATTCTGCTGAGGAGTTGGCACAAGAAACACTCTGGCTGTGAAGTGAATGGATCCCAGACCATCCGTAACCAAGAAGCATTTGTAGTTCACCAGCCTAGACATTACTGAAAACACAGCAGGCCTCTACCCAATGCAAGGGGCAGTTTTTAATTTTTCTCCACAATCTGTCTGTGTTTCTGCTGTCTATCTCTGGTTTCAGGGATACCAATATAAATGACACATAACAGGACACTTATTTGACTAGGAAGTCACAGCAGACCAAATTGTTCCCCAGTGTCATTCCACTGCAGTCAATAGAGTTTTCTTGGCGATGGATTAGGTAATAAAACAGATCCACTGAGCTTGACTGTGCAACATGAGAGTGCTCACTTTGCATGTTGGTTTTAAAACAACTTTAAAAGTGCCCCATTATCTTACAAAAGTGCATAGGTCAGTTCTTGTCACTTAGTCCTTAGGAACTTGCAGGGAAACATGCTACTTTCTTGTAGTTTATAATCAAATTCTGCGGAAGTGACACATCCAGAGCCTCTAATGTACATTTCTAGTCAAAGGCCATAAACTGTTCCAATAAAATGGTGGTTTGCCTTGTACATTCTTATAGGTAACCTACACTTTCACACTTGCTTCTGCTGCATGTTGCAATGAGGTAATGAAGAGAGAAGCCTGCAAAAAGCAGTGATTACAAAGAGCAGAGTTGCAGGCTTCCTTGTGTAGCTTCTGTAGCATGTTTACAATTATCTCTCCTGCTTTTCTAGAGTGTCTGATGTGAGGCACCTGCTACCCATTTACACAAAATGAGGAGCAGGTACCTCACATACAGGGAGGCTAAAGGGGAGTAGTGGGAGCAAACAATGCTCCTCACAGCCCTATAAAGATAACTGATAAATCGTTGCAGAATTATTCTCAGGTTTCTATTATGCTCTAGTTATCAATGCTAATATGAGAGGTCTAACTTGTAAATTCTTCAAAAGCAGAAAATGAACATTTACACTTTAAATTACCTTAATCTAAGATCTCGGTTGTTTGATCAAGTTTAAATGTTTTGCTGGTGCCATCAAGTGGCAAAATGTTGGATTGCAGAACTCCAGGAGCATCCAACTTCACTCAATCTGGTATCTTGAACAGCAGCAGTGAGGAAAATAATCCTTAGCAAATCTCCTCCAAAAATACATATATATACGTATATACCAGAAAAATGGACTGGAATACACATGGTGTCATGGTTACTTCAGTTATTTCAGTTTAATCTGGATTCTAACTAGTAGAAAGACTTAACATTTTTCAGTATTACAAGTTGATCAATATAGACAACCCATAAAGCAAACTCAGAGACACTTGTTGAAGAGCCACTAAACTGAAGGAGCACAATGCCGTGTTCTGAATTTCCTTCCCAACTGTGTTTGCCCTCCTTTGTTACTAGCTAATCTCTTTTTACAGAGCATGGCCCTTCAGATTTCATATCATATCTGCACTTCATATCATATGTGCTTAATATCACCAGCATGGAATGAATATTCAATTTGCTGTTCTATTCACTAAATTCACAATCTGGTTAATGCACGAACTAAACTTACAGTTCATAATTCATACACCCATCACTTTTTTTCAGCTGAGTGACATCATAATGTTGCTCAGAGGGAAGGCCTATGGGCAAAGAGAAAGCACAAATGTGTAAAGCTTATGCTCTATTTGCTTATAAAAATCCAAATATATTGATATGTTTTTGTCATGATTTCTCAGATAACCTGTAATATCAAAATTCATAGATGATGCCAGTGTGGAAGTCTATTCTGGGTTTCAAAATCTAAGTCATGCAGGGCTGGATTTTGAGAGGTGCTAAGCACCTGAGCCTGAACCCAAGGTTCCTGGGAATGCTGAGCATTTCACCCTGTGAAAGCCTGGGCCTTACAGCCCCTCAGCATGCACACCTAACACTCAGTAGGAGCTATGGAAATGCCTTGAATGGGTGCAGATTTTTACTTTATAAGGAGGTAAGTTATTCCTACATTATGAGGATCACTTTCAGCTCCTTCTGATGCCAAAGGGCTCCCAGAATCCAGCCAAACTGCGTGATGCTTTTCACTGAAAAGAATCTGAAGTGAAGATAGCAGCATACTTGTCATTGAGTTTAAACATCAGAAAACAATCAGTTGTTAGTATGAGACATCGGGGAAAAAAACCCCCACAAAACCCAACAAAAAAAACCCCAACCAAAATCCACAACAGAAGAGAGAGCAAATGCGAGTGCCAAAATGAGGGAAATGCAGTTGGAAAAATCAGCCATAATTAGTAATATTTTCCCATTATTAGAAATAGCCTTATAGTTCTGACCTGGCCTTGCTAAAGCTGAGCTTCATCCAAAGTATCTAATCAAATGTCTGTTGCTAAAAGGAATGGGTGGCCTTAATTGCATGGCTGAAAAAGAGATGTTGGCTGAGAGAAAGGGAGAGAAATGATGCTGAATCAGAAGGGACTGTTTGACCTTTATGACTGGCTCAATAGGCTCCCAAGTCTTGAGGGTTATAGCACAGTCCAACAGGAATATGCTCATAATACTCTGGGTCTAACCACAAGTTCAGAATGGTTATTGTCTTCTCTTTCCTCTTTAAGCACTTCCCCACATTGCCACTGTCCAGTGTAATGCATGCTTCTCTGCCATGGGTACTGTCAGTTGAGCAATGTGGGCATCTATGGTCAGACTTACCCTTCCAGACCTGGTGCAAGGCTGTGTGTTCAGAAGTGCTGGGCACCTTCATCTTAAACTAAAGTCACTAAGACATCACACACACCACAGTAGTACTCAACAGCTGGTGCTGAGGGTGTTCCCTTGTGACAGACTGCCACAGGAGGGTGCTCCTGTGGAGCAACAACAGTGATTTTAGAACCAAATTCAGGGATTTAGGAGGTCTGAATGCTGATTTGGGATGATCAGTGCAGTATCACTTTACTGTGAGAGCTGGCCAAGATAAACAACAAATGGATGTCATGAACTTAGGTTTATAAAGTAGCTTGCAAATATCTTCTCCCTTTCTGACTGCTAAGTTGGTTTTCTGAGATGGGGCAGGTAGTCACTGTGACTCATCTACCTTCTCATTAGGTACTATGCCTGAGATGGACAAAACATTCACATGCTTGCAATGTGGGGGTAGGAATGTAAAGACAGCTACACAGACTATATGCCACCTAGGCATTTTCTACTTGGTGGGCCTCTTTTTCTCTTCAGAGTGGGATTTACTTGTATGGATCAGGGGCTCTACACTAGTGTGCCTGAACAACAAATAGTCCAATGGATTGCATATTCAGAAAAGAAAAACACAGCAGTAATGAAACTTCTTGTTTCAAGCTCAATATACATTCATGTACTGATCCTGCCACTGTGGCATCATAGCACCTTGCCATGCTCCTGGGATGGAAGTACCATCAGCATCATTTAACAAGAGCAAGTGCAGGATTCTCCACCTGGGAAGGGGTAATACTGGTTATATGTACAAATTGGGGGATGAGAGGCTGGAGAGCAGCCCTGCAGAAAGAGATCTGGGGTTTGGGTTAATGGCAAGCTGAATATGAGCCAACAGTGTGCCCTGGCAGCCAAAAGGGGCAACCATGTCCTGGGGTGCATCCAGAACAGCACAGCACAGCTAGCTCCCTTCTCGAGGGAGGTGATTGTCCCACTCTACACTGCACTGGTGCATCCCCACCTCGAGTACTGTGTGAGGTTTTGGGTGCCTCAATAAAAGAAGGACATCAAACTCTTAGAATGTGTCCAGAGGAGGGCAACCAAGCTGGTGAAAGGTCTTGAGGACAAGATGTACAAGGAGCGGCTGGGGCCACTTGGTTTGTTCAGCCTGGAGAAGAGAAGGCTGAGGGGTGACCTCATCGCAGTCTACAACTTCCTCAAGGAGGGAAACGGAGGGGAAGATGCTGATCTCCTCTCCCTGGTGACCAGTGACAGGACACATGGAAATGGAATGAAGCTGCATCAGAAGTTCAAGTTGAACATTAGGAAAAGGTTCTTCACTGAGAGGGTGGTGGGTTACTAGAACAGGCTGCCCAGGGAGGTGATAATGGCACCAAGCCTGTCAGAGTTCAAATAGCTTCTGGGCAACGCTCTCAGTCATATGATTTAGTTTTAGGTAGTCCTGTGAGGAGCAGTGAGTTGGACTCAATGATTCTTCTGGGTCCATGCCAACTCTAGATATTCTATGATTCTGTCATCATTTTACAGAGAGGCTTGTTCATGATAATGCAGAGAAGAGCAAGGACAGGAAGATGTGTTTCCAGTCTTAGAGTCATGTTTTAACTCTTGGACAGCCATGCAAGATGCTTAGTCTACATCTTCCATTCATGTTCTCCAGGGAAGCCTGCAGGACTGAAGGCTATCCTTGAACTTCTCCAAGTCAGCCCTAAGCAGCACTATGTTCAGCATCCAAAGCTTTCCTGTAAGTCAGTAATGGTGATTTGAAACCTACCTGAGTGTCTGAACAGAGATTTGGCATCATTGTTTGCCTATCTATCAGCTAGTCAGTCTTTTTTTTTTTTTTTTTTTTTTTTTTTTTTTTTTTTTACAAAAGCTATCATGACAAACAAGAAGTTTGGGAACTGGTTTCAGTGGAGGTAGCACCAACCATGGTATGTTCTAAAGAATAAGTTAATTGTGGTAAGAGGCAAGAGAAGAGCCCTGACTTAGAAAGTATACCCCAGAGTTCTTCCCCTCAGCTGTTGTCTAGACAGATCTCTTCTTTTACAACAGCTTTCTGATAAAGCTGAGCACCAACTTTTCATGTTTATGCCTATGGGAGTTGTGGATGCTGTAATTATTCTGGTAGTAACATTTTTAAGGTCAGGAAGGGTGTCTGGGATAACAGCCAACAGTAGATAATTATCAGATGATAAGCAAAATATAAATATGGAAATTTGGAACTTTAAGTGTTTCAGCAAAACACTGTGTGGAGATATGTGGATACCAATATATTCCCCCAATATGTTAATATTTGGGTCACTGTAAAAAGAGTAGAAGCTTAAACTGCCCGTTTTTGGAATGCAGGTACTTGCACATCTCAGTCTACATTGCTGTCTAACCTGTTATTGGTCTGTTGCTTTTCTTGTTAAAAGCATTTCACTTAAACATTTTGTCTGTGTAGCCTCCCTTGGACAAGGGTCTACACCACTACTATAAGGTGGATATCCTTTAACAAATGTACATAAGACTTACCCTTTGCCCTGTTGTCTTCTGGCAGTACAAGTAGTGCAATTCCTTCATGCTCCCTTTCTTTTCCCCAGGGAAGCTTGCAGCAGTGAAGGGATTCCCTGTCTTTATACATCTGAAGGAAAAAAAACAACAAACCAACCAGAATATTTAATGGCAGCAACACTGATGGTTACTTGAAATCTTGTAAACAATGACAACTTGGCTTTATTTTCTTGGCTGTCAGTTAGCCTTATTCTGGGTAATGCTATTATGGTGAACTGTCACTAGGAGAAGTAGGTACAATGGTGATTGGCAATTGTTTAATGAATTGTTTAATGAATGTTTTAATCAGTGAGAGGAAGATAGATCTGTGCAACATGTATATCTTATAGTGTACTTAAGTCATGTGCCAGCATGTAGATATCTGCACTGTCCCTTCAATACTACATAAGCGGCATATGGACAGCAAATATATGCAGTGGCACAGATGGAAGCTTTAGCATCTAATTCCCACTGATTTTAGAATTTGTTATTTGTACCTTTGAAAACCTCCCCTCTCTGTCTCTAGAGAGGGGTGAGAAATGTTATTGTTTAGTAGCTGTAATTCATAGTGAATACAAGCTGTGTCAGGCACCTCACATAGATGTGCTAGTGGCTGAGGATATTCAGTACATTTCCATACATTTGTGTCATTCGAAATCAAGCAGTTCGACGTGTTTAGATGCATGTTCACTTTACACAGTTTTGGTTTACAATGTTGTAAAGATGGACGCTAAAGTCACAGAAAATTTAAAGCTTCATTTTCTTTTGGGTGGCAGCAGCTTTCCAGTCAGGAGAACACTTGCATAGCGAACTGTCTTATCTCCTTAATAAGTCCTGCAAGGATCCAGGAGTCAGACTCGATGATCCTTATGGGTCCCTTCCAAAGTGAAATCTTCTATGATGCTATGATTCTATAAGAGTCAAAGTGAGTCGATTTAAATTTGACTTAGCTGCTCAGGATTTTCTGAAAATCCTATCAAGGAAGCAATGAACTGTTGTATGTGGTGGGGATGGTCACTGTCAGATGTTTTACTGGTGTGCTGTCTTCATTCATATGAAATCAGAGAGTAATGTTTAGGGGAATGTGTTGGGAACTGCCAGGCATGTCTGTGTTTGTTGTCAGCCCTTCCATCATGGAGTGGCCCTGATTCTTGCTTTAGCTAGACCTCACATATACTGACATATTTTTCTGATATTGGGTATTTTTTTATGGATCCATGAAGCAGCTGGACATGGCTGCAGACCAATAGGAGTGCCTTTGTTGATTGTGATGTAGCCACTGCACTGCTGTCACAGCAGAGGCCGTGGTGAATCATGCAGATGTTCCAACTCGCTCCCAATTGTGATACATTGAGTTTCTCTGCCCTGTGCTCCCAAGTATGGTGTTGCTCTAAGTTTCTGGATGTGTGATTTCTGATGGAGAGAGGTGTATCAGCTAAAGAAATTGTTTAAGCAGAGATGTTATTCATCTTTGCTAGTGTTGATTACTGTTTTGGAGATGGAGGGAGAGGGTGTTATTTATTAAGCTATATGGGGAAGAAGTGCCACGCTGCAGGTACTATCTGGATTCAAGCTTATGGTATTTTTCAGGGGTAAAGTTCCCCTAATTCTGACTTAATCTTACATGGATTCAAAGGTAGAATAACATCCCTGAGCCCACATCTCCTAAAATGTGAGGGGAAATAGGCTTATTTATTATACGGCTATGAGCATTACAGTCCTGACCTTCATTATGAGTACAAGCTTTTAAGAAAGAAAAAATAATGGCTACAAAAACTTCTTCTCAGAGTACATTTAGACTCAAAATGTGGCAGAGTCCTAGATAATATCTAAATAGATCTTAGGAGTATCTATGGGAGAGATCATGATCTACAAGACACAGTCATGCCATGTTGTGTTTTGTTCTCTCTGGTTTCTTGGAAGTGCAGTGCCCTTCTATCATGTAGTTCCTTCTGTGTGGTTCTGCACTACTGTGCTGCTGCTTGATGCTGTTCCTTTATCCTGCCAGGGTGCAAAGGGCAATATGTTTGTATTGTACGATGAACCAAAATAAGAAACAACTGATGTGCCACAGATTATCAGAAAGCTTTTCTGTTTTTAAATTTCTGAAGGAACTCAAGCATCCATTTATTAAGTTTGGTCTAAAGCCTTTTTTGCCGTTTCTGAAAGAAGGCAGGCAGATGCCAATTCACCTGTGTTGCTGTGGTGTTTGTTTTCATTAAGCTGACTCTCACTGGAAACATTAATAAATCATTCCTGTTGACTGCTATCTATAGGTTACTAAGTTGCAGAATAACCACTTTACCTTAGACGGAAAAGAGAAGCATTCTACACAAAGGTCTGATCATCCATTCAGCCCAAACAGGACTTTAAGTGTAAAATGTTTCCAAGTCTCCTTCTTACAAAGAAACATTTATAGTTGACATTGATACAGGGATACTGAAGATCTCAAGGACACAGAAACAAATGTCTCTGCTCAGAGAATATCAGAAGAGGGCTAGGGTGAACAAAGTTTTAAAGAATATGTCATGAACAATCCATAAGAGTCTCAGCAATATAGTCAATGATTTAACAGAGACTATTACCATTTCTAACTTCCACAATTATAGATTTATTCTGAATTCTGCCAGCCAACTTCCAGCTTTCTGGCTCCTTTGTTCCAACAAAGCTAATATTCTGGGATAAGAACATCAGTTTGCTAGTGCCTTCTTTATTTTTAAAAAGTTACATTTTTCCCTTCAAATTTGTTTTTTTTTGTGGGGAGCTCAAACCAAAGTGTATGAATACAGTGTCTTAGATCGTGAGTTTGCGAAGAGCTCCAGTAACTGATTTGATCAGTGTATGAAGCCAACACATCTGAGGCAGGATGTTGCCAACAGCTTCCAGAAAGTCTGTGGAAATAGAGTTCTTAAAGGGCTAGGATTAGGACCTGCCTCTGAGTGAATTCACATAGGGCGCATTCACACTGGCATTTTAATTTGGACCAGGAGTGCACTTTTGACATGAATCTTTCAATGGTCTCTATTTTGCAGTGCCTTGGTCTTGGAGTACTTGAACTGTGTTCCTTCTGGATGAAGTTAACTGGAAGATGTGCTCCAGGAATGCACCAGGAGGGCACCTCAGCCACAAGTGGACCCTCAGATCCTGGAATCACGGTAGAGGTAATCCAAAGTAAAGAGCACCTGAAATGCATTTTTCCTGGACCTCAGATCCTCAGCACCAACTGTTTCACTCTACACATCTTCTGTAGTCCACAATACATGCCAATGTAGACATAGTCACTGAGCAACATACTGATTTGGAATTCAGTGAATTTTTTGGGGGGTGGAAATGGCTGAACTTTTTTTTTTTTTTTAACTCTTGCCCAGTAAACATATAAATAACTAAATACATTATCTTAGTATATCAACACTGAATCTGACTATCTGATCATACAGTAAAGTCCTTAGGGTACCTTCTTTATATATATATATATATATATATATATATATATTAAACCTAGCATTATACAAATTACACATACATGCCTCTGGTTATTCAGGAGTGCTCTTTATCAGTGCAAGTATTGGTAATGAATACTCTTGTCCAAGATGATAATGTAATAAAATTAATGGATATTTTATTTTTAAAAGCTGAGAACAACTGTGTTCTATTTATTTATTTGCTTGTAATTATGTGACTTGAAAAAAAAAGCACCATTTAAAAAACATGTATGATATTGTAAAACATGCAGCCACCTTCTTTACAGGTATAAATTGGTGAGTTCATGTGAGGGAGTGTTTACATTAGCAGAAAACTGATGCTTACTGCCTGTGTTACAATATGGATTTTCCTTTTCACAGAGAAGAGAAATGTTACAACCTGGCCATGTTTATTTCATTTTTGTGTTTCAGAGCTGGGTCTAACATAGCTGTCATCTGAAAGATGCTTTGCTGGTGTGATCAGATTCTGACATTGCAGCCCATTCTGAGCTTAATTTTTTCTTTTGCTAGGTATCCTGTGTAGCCGACATGAATCTTTCTTGTACATTCACTTAAATTTAGATCAGGCCTATAATTCAGTAAACTTTCAAGTATGTCAATAGTTAAAACAGTTCAGATGGAAATTCACCCAAATTCCTGTAATGCAAGGATTGCAACTAAAACTTGCCTCAGGGAAGATACGTAAGTGGGAGTCAGCAAGACACAGTTTGCCAAGTGTGATAATCCAATAATATCAAAATATTCCAACTGGAATTCAGATGTTGGATATGAGACATTACAAATAATGGAAAAAGTTAGCAGTACTAGTAAACCAGAGGCTTCCAGTAAAATGGAAGCTAAGAACTGATTTTGGTAACAAAAAAGATAAAATCTCACGTGTAAGAACACTGGAGGACTTGAGACTAACTCTGGAATCTGTTACGTATGTAAAAATTAGAAATTTAGGTCAAAAAAAAGTTGCCATGTGTACTAAGTAGCATGGAGGTTCAGCTTTCCAGAACTTTAAAAACGGCAGGAGTTCTGCTATATCCTGCCCCTAGGTAAGAATATAATTGGGCCTGTAAAATATAGTAAAAAATGTATATTCCTGGAACTTCCTGGTTGTACATTGGTAATGAGGAAAGCAAAATGCAGGCTTCCTATAATTTTAAATTTTAATTCTAAAGTTTATCTCAGTATTTCTAGGTCAGCCTGTAATCTAGGAGGAAAAAAATTTAAAAAAGAATCAAAACAGGAGTAGATCAAAGAATAACATGAGAAATGTTGGTGACTGGTTTGAGAAATATACTTATTTTTTTCCAGATTAGAAATACAATATACATGTTGGTTTTATTCTTTATGAAAATTATTTCAGGATATTTTGAGCCCTAAAGCCACAGTATAATGTATTTAGCAGTCCTCTTTTCAGCTGTAATCAACATATTTCCCAGGGAACTGACAGACTATTACACAAAGTAAAAAATGTTTTGCTTCATTAAAACAAAAAGAAAAAAAATGGTGTCTTGCCAGGAAAACCCAACTATTAGAAAACACTTTCAGTAACAGTAAATGGATATCAAATACTTTTAACAGAATCATTTACCTTTTCGAGTTCTGTTCTTATCTGTCTTGTGAGACAGTTGGACAAGAAAGAATTTGAAGTGGAGTTAATACCTCATTGGACTCAAAGATTCTTGATATGCTTTCAGTTCTCTCATTTTCTCTATAGCAGTGGGGCAGGTCATGCAGCAGCATCATGTATCATATTTGAGCTTCTAGGGGAAGATACAGGGATAAAATACCAAATATCAAGGGTTTTGTTAGTGCATCTGGATGCTAAGGAGGAAACATGGATGAGTTCTGCCTAATTCTGGCAAGTGTCAACAGGAAACAATGGTTGCTTTTACTACTGCTACTGGTTATTTGTACCAGGTTACAAAATAAACAAAAAAAGGAGGCAGATTAAAGAGGTGTGATACTGTTGCTTTGTGTCACTGAACAGAGCTAGAAATAAACTTTCATGTAATGGGAGGAGGAAGATTGGACTTGCACTCACAAAGTCTCACTTGTGAAAGTGTGAATTTGGATTCATTGTGAAGTTTCAGTCCCACTCTGAAAAGGATGATATTAAACTCAAGATACTTTTCATAGAAAATAATATTTTCCTTAATTGCCATGAATTTTGTCTTTTTTGCTATGTGCTGAAAGGAAATGCTTTAGTCCTCCTTTTACTTGAGTGAAGTTGTATTTCAACACTGGTTGACTAGCTCTTTGTGATGAGGGGCACTATATTAGGTCGGTATAAACCCCTCTGCTCTCTAGAACGTCATGCAGGCATTTATATCTGAACAAGTTGCCTCTGTTCTGAGCTGCTCTGTTGTGCAAAAGAAAAACATCAGGACTTGTAGTTTCAACCCAGTGAAGCTCTGGTTCACAGCATCGAGAGTCTTCTCTCAAAAAAACGCTAGCAACTTCTTAGATGAAGTACATGAAGAAGGACTACTGCTTCCTCTGTGTCCAGCAGGAGCCAGCAGAGCATTCTCTTGTATTTGTGCCCTGCTTCTTCTGGGATTCTCGGTTTTCCCGAGGAAGCCCTCAGGAGCCCATTTGCTCTATGACAAGCCCTGTAGGGGTGTGTAATAACGTTTAGTAGAAGTTCACAGGTACAAAGGGAAGCACTGAATTCACTTTGCTCTCTGCAAGCTGTGACAAGACTCCTTTTGACTAAAACCCAGTGGCTCATCGAATGGAGAAGGCTGAGAGGTCTTTGTTTTACCTCCTTACATTTTGAGTTGTACCTTTAAGCCACTTCTGTATGGCTCTACACTTAGTGGTCTGCTAGCTTTTGGATATGGATCTTACAATGACAAGAGAAGTCTGAGGAGAAAGGAGCAATATATATTAATCTTTCCAGTACATGTTTACTATCCTCACTTTTGCAAAGCTTTGACAGAAGGGATATTTTGATCAAGCCCTCTTCTCTCAAGCAGATGTCAGTGAAATACAAAAGATTTTGCTTTGCCTTATTAAAATAGGAAACTAATCTGAAAATATTTGAAATATGTTATTCTTCCAGGATGTGTAGGGGTTTGGGCCGTATGTATTGCAAGAAAAGAAGCTGATACAGCATGTTCAAATGAAAAAAAATCAAATTAATTCTGTCATGCTGGCAGTTTCTAGTGTTTGGTGGTCTGCTATGGTATCTACATGAGCACTATGGGAATCTTATACTGATGACTCAGATTCAGATACCACTGACTTGCAAAGAGAAAAATGTTCAGAGTTGTTGATTCACAATCTACAAGTGGGCAAGAAACAGAAGCCAGACTGTCCTTCCAGCGAAGGTTCTGTAATGTAATGCACTTCTGAGTCCACACTATTCAGACCCTAGCAGAATTTCCTCTCTATTCAGCTTTATTAACCTTTCTGGAAAATGTATTTCTCTCTGACAGAATTATAACTGGGACTAGTAGCTTTTTTTGTCCTGCCTGTTGCACATAAGGGGAGATGCCACTGTTCACATCTTCTCTTTGTAGCTTCATGACAGAAGCTGCCCACTGAGGCAGGAATGAATCTATGCCACCAATTTTACTTCAATAGTCTTTTGGCATTTCAGTGGTTATCCATAGCACCAGATTGTGATCTGACTGCATTCAGCTCCAAATCCACAATGTTCAGAGTTATGCCTATCTGCAATTTTACCCATCATACCAACACCAGCCCCACTGATAGGTAGTAGCCTATACCTCCTCATCAAAAGGCTTCTGAACATACACAGCCCATGTCCCTGCAGTTGCACTAGTCCAAAGCCACCACACAAATCCTAAAACTTGGCTTCAGCTCCAGAAACATACAGTTCATCATACAGCATTTCTAGGTGGCTGGCTTGAGAACCTCAAGTTCCCAGCTCTTGACACCTACCTTTAGCTGCAGGATCCAGACGAAGGGTCAAGGCATTCCGATGAACGATGCTCTCTGGACACAGTCCAATGCATGCAGAAGGACACCCAATGTCTGTCCAGTTCTGTTCCCTGGCAAAACTAGCCCAATTCCTTGGCAGAAGAAGCCAAGGGGGTTATAGCTCAGTGAGGCCACTCAGGCTAGAGGGCTGACGATAGATAGGGGAAGATAACAGTAGGAAAAAGCTGATAAAGTCAGTGGAGCCAGGTGCTGGCAGGACCAAAGTCCCAAGTCCTTATTGATCCAGGGGAAATTACCCATAAAGGAAATCACTAGTTTCCAGGATGATGTCTCTCCAAAGCAGGAAACATGATCATTCACATTTCAGTCCCAGAGCTTTCAGAAATCCATGGCTAAGAGAATGAATTGTCTCACTATGGGCCTTTTGATGAGGAAAATCTTCCGGTAGGAGAAGGCAGGAAGCCATAGGAAAATGATACATTAATGTTATGAGGAACAATATGTAAGGAAAAATTAATTTCTAAATGTAATAACCCTTCAAATATTGTGTTTACTGAAGCCCAAAGAGATTATTATTCCAGAACAGAAGACAATATCTGGGGAGTAGCCCCTCTCATCCTAAGCTTTATTGTCTGTCTGTTTTCAGAATAAAAGGTTAATAGGAAACTGTAGCACAGCACTATGAACTAAGCTTAACTTCTTGTTCAGTGCAGTGCACTGTGACTATGTTTTGGCCTGTATTCTGGTAGTATTTCACATCTCAGTGAGAGGTGTTGGGAATCTTTGGGGGTGGTACACAGAATGAGGCAGCTGGTGATGTCAGCAGATGGTTGTCTAATGCATGAGGGGGAAGGATGTTAGAGCATGCCTGGGAGCTGGGGTCCAAGACAAAAGTAGGTGATGTGCTGTTTTACCTCTCCTGAATAAAGCAGTAAACATAGCCACAAGCAAAGCCAAAAGCCAGTTTGTTACAGAAAATTTGATTGGGAATAATTAAGTGAAGTCATGTGGATGTCAGTTCAATTCTTGACAAGTTGTCTGAGCCTAGAACATTTAAAATAAGGCAGGCAGCACAGCAGCAGGACTTCTGTGAATTGCCACTTCTTATTCCCATTCTTGGAGATACCAATATTTTCTGCTTAGGTTTTGTGTGGGATTTTCATACCATCCTTCGAAACAGTTGGACATGGCCACTGGTGGATTTTGGATTCTGTTTAGTTGGCATGCTGGATGTTTCTGTCTTTCTGTGTTTGGCAGACATGGTGATAGATTTTGATCTGTTTTACTTTCTCCTGCTGACCTTTTCTTTTCTCTCAATGTGGTTTTTGTTTGAGTTGAATTGGCATCAAAATAACTAGATGTGTTTGAAAAGAGTGGTTTTGTTCTGTTGTTTCTTTCACCAGACAGGGCAAAATTAGCTGGAGGTCCTACTTTTCTTGGAAAAGCAGTGTGAAAAAAGCTGGAATCAAGTCTTTTGGCAAGTGATAATATAAAAATAGCTTTTCTGAATACCTTTAAAATGCACTGTTGTGTTATTATTATCCAGTAGAGCCAGTAATTGGTTTATTATGATTTTGGACTGCTGGTTTGTTTTTAACATGGATGTCTTGGCCATCACTTTAAAGTGAACTACGCTTTAATGTTTGTGCCATGTACAAGTGATGTAGCTGTATCAGTAATTCCCAGAGTTCACAAGTTTAATATATTCTGAAAAAAAATATTTTTAGTGTTTCTTTTCCATGCTTCATCTTAGTCTAGAGCTGAATGTATGGAAAGGCTCAGCAGAATCTTTTCCTTCATTTCATTAATTACTCAGCTGTTGAAAAACTCTGTTATTTCCTTCCAAAAAAATACTATGGAAGATTTAGAGTTGTGGTTTTAAGAGACTATGGGAATTACTTGCCTTAGTTGTTATTACAGAGGCTGTGCTGATGGGAGGAAAAAGGCTTTAGGACATTACTTCAACACTCTAAATCTTCACACAGAGAGGTCACCCCACAGATAAATCTATCAGTACCTGAGTTGGATATATCTCTGCCACCTGTATCTCCAGGTTAGTGAGTTTCTTTGGGAAAAAAAATGATTGGGAGGACTAAGGTCCTCCTTAGGATTTATACCTCTCTGTATAGCTCCCTTACAAGGCTACTGTGGGTGTTGTGTGCTGATGTGACAAGGGGGTCAGGCAGAGATGGGTATCACAAAATAATGGAATTATAACAGGCAGGTTGAGGTTGAAAGGGACCTCTGGAGGTCATCTGGTCCAACCCCTGCTCAGGCAGGGCCACATGAAGCAGGCTGCCTAGGACCATGTTTCCAAGGAGGGAGGCTTCATAGCCTCCCTGGGCAACTTGTGCCAGTGTTCAGTCACCCTCATAGTCAAAAGTGCTTCCTTATGTTTAGGTGGACCCTCTTGTGTTTCAGTTGGTGCTCTTGCCTCTGGTCCTGTCGCTGGGCACCACTGAAAAGAGCCCAGCTCCATCTTCTTTGCACCCTCACTTCAGATAGCTGTACACATTGATGAGATCCCCTCTGGGCCTTTTCTTCTCTAGTCTTCTATAGTCCCAGCTCTCTCAGCCTTTGATCAAATGAGAGATGTTCCAGACCCTTCATTATCTTAGTGGCCTTTCACTGGACTCTCTCCAAGCAGCGCCATCTCTCCCTTGTACTGGGGAGCTCAGAACTGGACACAGTACTCCAGGTGTGGCTTCACCAGTGCTGAGCAGAGGGGAAGGATCATTTCCCTCAACCCGCTGGCAACAGTCCTTCTCATGCAGTCCAGGCTACCATTGGCCTTCTTTATGGTGAGGACATGTTGTTGCCTCATGTCCAACTTTGTGTCCACCAGG